CATGTGCATGTGTGTGTGCGTGTGTGTGTGTGTGTATGCTCACACATATGCACACGACTCCAGCCCAAGGCACTTTCCTGGGCCTGGGCATGTCGCCTGGGGGCTCCGGGGCAGTGAATGCTCCCCCACCTGACATCCCGGGAGGCGATGGCACGGGTGTCGTTGGTGCCTCCCTTGCCCCTGAGTCCGTGGGCCCCAAACCTGGCCTCAGAATATGAGTCCTTTACAGGGCACCATGCCCGCCCCACACCCCGGCAGCCTCATTTGGTGGGTACAGGCCAGCGGGGCTCAGTGGCTGCGCGTCGACCTAGGAACCAGGAGGTTAGGATTCGATTCCCCGTCAGGGCACAGGCCCGGGTTGCAGGCTCATCCCCAGTGTGGGGCGTGCGGGGGGCAGCCGATCCATGACTCTCTCTCATCATTGATGTTTCTCTCTCCCTCTGCCTTCCTCTCTGGAATCAGTAAAAATATATTTAAAGAAATAAAACCACTACATTGCGGTTTCAATTAAAATAAACAAACACCTCCCCGGGCATTTTTCATGTGCAGCAAAGTTTGGGACCCGCTGTCTCAGGCCACAGTCGGGCGGGGATTTGATTCTGGTCTCTCTCTCGGGGCCGGGGGGTAGTGGGGGGGGGGAAGCCAGGTGGATCGAGGTGATGGACTATCTGCAGGGACATTGACCCTGCAGGTCCCTCGGGGCTCCCTCGGCACCACGGCTGGAGGGTATCGGGGCACAGCTCCCGCGGCGCCTGGCACAGCGGGGCGCAGAGAAAAGGGCCGGGGAGCAGCCTCCCTCGATTGTCTCGCTGACCCAGAATCCTCCGGAAAGAGCGCTTTCTGGGCGCGCTCTCTGCGCGGTGCCGCCTGACTGGTCTTGGCTGGCCCCGGGGGACTTACCTTCTTTCCTCGCTAACCCGCATCCCAATCTGCTGGAGGGCGACCTGGGGCTGTTTCCGCGGCAGCGAGGGACCCGTGTGGATAGCCGCCCCGAACCCGTTAGCTGGTCGCTCGTTCTCACACATCCCAGCACAGGGTGCACTGATTCCCCGAGCGGGAGCTGAGGCCCAGGGGTGAGCCGTGGCCCAGGTCACCCAGCTGGTAGGTGCCGAGCTGGCACAGGACCCGGGAGTCTGGCTCCGGGCCTCCACCCTTAGGCCATACGTTGTCCCACTGCTCACCGGGGAGCCAAGTGAGGGGTTTTGTTAATTAAGAAACAAAACGCACCCTAGCTGGTTTGCTCGGTGGGTAGAGCGTCGGCCTGCAGGGTCCCGGGTTCAGTCCCTCGGTTGCAGGCTCCATCCCTGGCCCTGGTGGGGCGCGTGTGGGAGGCAACCAATCCATGTGTCTCTCTCACAAGGATGTTTCTCTCTCTCTCTGTCTCTCCGCTTTCTCTAAAAACCAATGGAAAAATATCCTGGGGTGAGGATAAATAAATAAATAAAAAGAAGGGTAGCCATTGGAAAACCCAAACACAAAGTGCCGTGAACCTATGGGTTGTGAGATGCTGCTTTTAATAAACAGAGAGGAAGTGGTTGCCATGGGCAACCCCTCCTCGGCAGGGGGCCTGCAGCTGGCCCGCCCCCCGGCCCAGTTACTGAGGGGGCACCCCACCTCCCGTGAACTCCGGGGGTTCACCCCCTGCTCGCTGTGGCTCCCGGAGACGCTTTCCAGGCGCAGACGAGGGCACCTCTCAGGGGGCGGGAGAGAAACCTGACCCGAG